AAAGAGGACATTGTTCTTTGATACATAAAACAGACTGACGCAAATTAGCTTCTTGTATTGCTATATTTTTCTTTTGTTTTTTTTTTTAATAAGACCTTGATTTGTCTTTGGATTATATTCTTAAGAATGTGTTTTTGTTGTCCTTCTTTAATTAGGAATATTGCATTTCCAACCATGCATGTATTGTAACAAAAATCTTAATGATCAATTTTTTGTATCATTATCCTCTATTTTTCCACTTCGATCCATTGACCATTTTCTTTTATTTGATCTCTAATCCAGTATTCTGCTTTCTATTCCTCGATCTCTGTCTTCTTACTCCTCCCAGAGCATCTTTCCCTCCAGTTTTCTCTTGCTCTATCTGACATCATTCTAATTACAATGCAAGGTTCAGTGCTTCCTTGGTACTGCAAATGGTTCTTAAAACAATTACAAAAGGAGTCAGACAATTTAAAAAAGGGAGGTAAAAGGAAAGATGTGGCAAAACACATGATGAAGCCCCTCCCACACCATTTTGATATGTCAGGTAAATAAAGTGCCTGGACCCCTCAGCGCAAACTGCAGGCAAGGTCGATGCTTCAGCATCTTTAATGATGTGAGTCAATCTGGCATGCTGCAGCAGACCGAGCATGCCGACTCAAAAGGCGATTTAAACAGCGGAGAATGTCACATGATGCGTCAGCACAAAGACGCAAAGGTAAGGCAGTTTGAGTAACAGAGACTGATAAGATGGTAAATATGAATTTATTTTTATGGGACCATGAAGAACCTTTGAATGAGCAGATGTCAACTGCATAAGAGAGGAGAAGGGCGGCAGGAGCTAAGGGGGAAATGCAACGATTAATGCTAGAGAAACATACAAGTGATTATCACTTCAGATTAAAATTGATTTCCTCTCAAGAAGAGTAAGAAACATGTATTATAGAGTTTACACAATTTGTAAAGTGTATGAAAGCTAGTTAAACATTTTATGATTTAATAACAAGTTTTAAAAATGTAGGTTGTCTTGTATTTTCCTTCAAGCAATAATTCAGATTAAAGGACTTTGGGCTTCATGAAACTGCTTCTTAAGAGTGGAAGAAGGCATCAGACTGTTGTACTTTGTGCTTCCTTTTTAGTGCCCACCTGTTGGACCAGATTTGGCAGAGAATGTTTTTTTTTAAGGAACAATTTGGTAAAGATGTGGCTTTACAAGTATCCTTCATATGAATTAATGCAAATATTTAAAGAGAAAAAAAAAACATAAAATAATATGTAATTGAAGAATGTATCTATTTCTGTATGTATACTTATGGCTTTTTTTCAAATGAACTGTTCCCCAACATACTATAATAAAATAGTTAGAATTAGGCTGTTGGCTTTTGGCATTGGTTCTCCAATGCAGCGGTCCCCAACCACCGGGCTGCGGACCGGTACCGGTCCGTCAGAATTTGGTACCGGACCGCACAGAAAAAAGTATATATACATTTAATTTATCAGAGTCTGAGTGATGTTTTATTTTGAAAAATATAAAAAAAATTGCGGTATTCTCTCCCAATTACATCAGTCGGTGCATCTGTGCCTCTTGACACAGGTTAATTCAGTTCAAGACTCATCCTCTCTATAACATCCTATCCTTGTGAAGTGGGATTTTCTGCGGTTACAGCAACCAAAACAAAGCTACGGAGCAGACTGGACATCAGGAGCACACTTGGTGTGTCATTGTCTCCGATTACTCCTAGATGGGACCGGCTTGTTTCGGAGAAGCAAGCTCAGGGTTCCCACTAATTCAACATAATGGTGAGTTTTATCCTGTTTGTATTTGATATTATGCCAGTCGTATCATTTTACTTGATCGTATTTACCCCCCCGGCCGGTCCATGAAAATATTGTCTGACATATGGCAGTCCGTGGTGCAAGAAAAGTTGGGGACCGCTGCTCCAATGGACCTCATCAGACCGATGCCTGAGTGGGGCAGTCTGCGAGCACAAGGTTATTGCTTTGATAGCATACTGCCTAATCCTTCTGCAATGGAACAGTGGTGCCCCACACATGGCTACACACTGGATTCAGGATATGTTATCAAATTTAAAACGGGTAAAAATCATGTGTTATTTAAGCTCTGAAAAAAAATGTCATCAAATGTTACTTTTCTTTGATCAGTCTTCACCACAGGTTCAGGAAATTATGCATCTCAGCTAAATCGGTTGATCCAGTTATATATTAAAACATGTTATATTTGTATACCTTCTGTATCTATCTCAACAAGAATAAAAACTGGGTTTGTTCCTTATTATGGAGGGAGATTTATTTTTCTCTCTCATTCTTCATGCTTCAATAAATATATAATACAAAAAAATAAATATATAATACAAAAAAAAAGACAACATCACACACACACACACACACACATATATATATATATATATATATATATATATATATATACACTATATTGCCAAAAGTATTTGCTCACCCATCCAAATTATTGGAATCAGGTGTTCCAATCACTTCCATGGCCACAGGTGTATAAATTCAAGCACCTAGGCATGCAGACTGTTTTTACAAACATTTGTGAAAGAATGGGTCGCTCTCAGGAGCTCAGTGAATTCCAGCGTGGAACTGTGATAGGATGCCACCTGTGCAACAAATCCAGTCGTGAAATTTCCTCGCTCCTAAATATTCCACAGTCAACTGTCAGCTGTATTATAAGAAAATGGAAGTGTTTGGGAACGACAGCAACTCAGCCACGAAGTGGTAGGCCACGTAAACTGACGGAGCGGGGTCAGCGGATGCTGAAGCGCATAGTGCGAAGAGGTCGCCAACTTTCTGCAGAGTCAATCACTACAGACCTCCAAACTTCATGTGGCCTTCAGATTAGCTCAAGAACAGTGCGCAGAGAGCTTCATGGAATGGGTTTCCATGGTCGAGCAGCTGCATCCAAGCCATACATCACCAAGTGCAATGCAAAGCGTCGGATGCGGTGGTGTAAAGCACGCCGCCACTGGACTCTAGAGCAGTGGAGACGCGTTCTCTGGAGTGACGAATCGCGCTTCTCCATCTGGCAATCTGATGGACGGGTCTGGGTTTGGCGGTTGCCAGGAGAACGGTACTTGTCTGACTGCATTGTGCCAAGTGTAAAGTTTGGTGGAGGGGGGATTATGGTGTGGGGTTGTTTTTCAGGAGCTGGGCTTGGCCCCTTAGTTCCAGTGAAAGGAACTCTGAATGCTTCAGCATACCAAGACATTTTGGACAATTCCATGCTCCCAACTTTGTGGGAACAGTTTGGAGCTGGCCCCTTCCTCTTCCAACATGACTGTGCACCAGTGCAAAAAGCAAGGTCCATAAAGACATGGATGACAGAGTCTGGTGTGGATGAACTTGACTGGCCTGCACAGAGTCCTGACCTCAACCCGATAGAACACCTTTGGGATGAATTAGAGCGGAGACTGAGAGCCAGGCCTTCTCGTCCAACATCAGTGTGCGACCTCACAAATGCGCTTCTGGAAGAATGGTCAAAAATTCCCATAAACACACTCCTAAACCTTGTGGACAGCCTTCCCAGAAGAGTTGAAGCTGTTCTAGCTGCAAAGGGTGGACCGACGTCATATTGAACCCTATGGATTAGGAACGGGATGTCACTTAAGCTCATATGTGAGTCAAGGCAGGTGAGCAAATACTTTTGGCAATATAGTGTATATATATATATATATATATATATGTATGTATAAACTAAGGCTAGTAGTCATAGGAAATCAATCCAAGCCAAGTACTCATAGCCTCATAGGAACCTTGTGTCACAACATACACTGTATTCAGCAAGGTTTTCTCATAGATATATCCAAATGGTTGTCTTAGTTATGACTGTAATTAATTTGAAAAAAGTCGGACCAAAGCCAGCAGTTTTAACAGATCCTGTCAATCTTCCTTCATCTCACATAACTAATTTGCCTTCTTTATGTAACTGGTCTTGACCACTAAAAACTGTAACCATTATGCAACAGGTATAAACTCTAATATCCCACTGTGCTCTACTTCAAAGTAGTTGACATCGTGGAACATATCAACCTGCCAACATTTGCCACCAATCCAGTTAATAAAGCCTGCATACTGATTGAACTTGCTTTATTTAGCATCTTTCCAGGTTGAGATAACTTGAAATGATCTATCTATCCTGGTTAAATAAAGGTTAAATAAAGAAAAAGAAACACAACTGTGTTTTATTGTATACCGGTATCTGCTTTCTGGGGTAAAGCAAGCTAAACTGTGTAGCTGAAAAATCTTGAATCAGGGTAGGATCAAAGCTTTCATACACTTCAACAAAAGATACAGATTATAATAAAAACTACCCATTTGAGAGCTTATTTCTTTTTTATCATAGAAAAGCTCTGAAAAGAAGCTTTATTAATGTTTGTGTTGGGTGCTGATTGTCCAATCAGAATGTAGAATTGGCCTTCCTCCTGTTGAGTATCAAGAATATAACAGCACAATCTTTCTGAAAATGAGTCCTATGGCTCTTTATTTTATCTGATCAGTGCAATTATATATATATATATATATATATATATGAGTTTGCATCTTTTTGACGACTATTATTATTTTCAACACAACAATGTAAGAAAAAGAGAGAAGAAAAATAGACTAAAGATTTTTTTTTTATTTGTTGTTTTGTCTGTGTGTGTAATATGCATTCTAAACATAACAAAATTGGAAATGAAAATGCTAAAAACAAACAAACAAGCAACCACCTAGGAGCAAAAATTTTCAAAGAAACGCTCAGATGCTTATAAGGAAAATATAAATGACAGTTTACCTGTGCAGATTTATCAAATATAAACCGCAAAATATCTTTGGCGATATGTCAATTTTAATTTTAATAACATTCATCTATTCTGTTGTAAAGTCGTGACTTGTTTGTTTCCGAGCACTGGCATGAATGAGGGGCGTGTCTGTCCATACGTAATGAATGGAACGTCGTCACAGTCGCCTTCGCGGAAGGATATCTTGCACTGAAAGGTGACGCTGCTGGATGTAGAACAAGGAAAACCCTCGGGGTGTAGGAATACACAGAAGCCACACTCCGCCTTTGGCAGGTGCACAACGTAGATATATCATTAATGAGAAGTGATAGCCATGCGATATGGTGTTTTGCATATTCTACTACAGACGGCATTTTACACAAAACCATCCCTGTCTTTTCAGCAAAAGATATCGCGGTAAGTAAAAATGACCGGCTATGTTGTTCTGTTGTTTCCAACTATTAGCTTAAGCTAAATTTAGCATGTATGGCTAGCAGCTAAATAGTGACGCTCGTCTCTGTAATGTCTGGAGTGTTCTCCAGGAAGAACATTTTATTTTAATTTTTTACTGCACCAATTGTTTTGTTCTATTTTTTTCCATCAGCGGACAAATGTCAGCGTGGATAATATATGTTGCGCGGTGTTTTTGTGCACCTGACGTCAGCTGTAGCTTGACGTAACGGTAATATATCAGCTGACAAATTAGATTAAACTACGCTAGGTAATAAACAACAGTCGTATTTTTACCTTGTTACTCTTATTGTTTCCTTTATTCCTTGTTTGTCTCCTGCACTTCATTTGACATCCTTATTCTAAATGGTGTGTTTTAGTCTATTTATAAAGATTAGTATTAAACTTAAAGGTAGTATTATAACCGCTTTCTGTAAGTGAAAACTTTCAGTTTTTTACTTTTTTTGAGGAAATGGAAGACAAAAATATTTTTGTGACACGTGTCTATGAGGAAAATGAGTCACCAGTGTTTGGGTTACTATGAGGAACATCTGGAGGAGGTGTGCGGAAAAGCTGTGGCATGGCCTGCTGGACTGGTTTCAGGGAAATATAAACTCTTTAATCTGGAGGTTACATCACCGCTTACAGTTACAGCATTTTTTTTTTTTTTTTTTTACCAGGATGTAGTAATTGCTGTCGGTATGGCGCAGTGTTTGACCAATATCTGCAAACATAGATGAACAAGGCCACACCTGTTTGAACTGAGATGTTGGTTTCAGGTTTTTCAAATGTATCATATCTCTTTAAACTATTCCAAGTCAAATCTTCTCCCCTTTCAGAGAATATTGCTTCAAGTCTTCTAAACAGCAGTGTAAAGCTTTGGATTTCTCTAAAATTTTTGGCAAATTTGCTCTGCACACTATACTGTTTTGCTAAGGAAGATGATTTGTCACCTAATATCCTTAAGATCCTCCATTTCAAACATAAAAATAAATTCTCTAAATATCCCACAATGTAATGTCATGTTTTTTTTTCTCCATATGTTGTCTCTTATAATTAGTTAATGTATGAAGAAAACTAGAACTAGAAACATCTTTCTGATTACTAGCATTAAGTACCAGCATCTAAGTTAACTAACATTTCATGTAAATAGAGAGGGGTCAGCATTTAAAATGTTTCCAAAATGAATACACTTAATTTTCCCAATACATTGCGAGGAAAATATACTATATGTGTGATTATACGTTTTACTGAGTAGAGATGCATTAACCAAGGCTTATATCCGGTTGATGTTAGTGGTTGTTTTTTTCTTTTTCTTGTAATGTTATCAGCTGATGCGTACATGTGTTGGCTGATTCATGTGCATTCAGCAACCATCCTTTAAGATCCCATGGAGTGTGTTGCCCCTCCCCTACATTTGCTATCTGTTAATGTTTTGCTCAAGTTACTTCTGTCTACTCTATTTCCTTTGGTGCAGAATACATTCATGTTGGTGTTGGCATCGTAACTAAAAGTAGATATGTATATATTTTGGAACCATCAACAGTTGTGCAACTATTATTTTATACTGTCTTTTGTTTGTTGGAATGTTTTTTGTTTTTTTTTTGGTGTGTTTTTAGTCAAATTTGGGCTTTTTCTGCACAACTTTGTTTAAACTTTAAAGCAATTAAATAGATAAAAACCCAGGGATTTAATCTGTACCTAGTCGAAAAAAGTGTCTAACTTTATTTATAAAGCACTTAAAATAAAAAGAAATAAAAAAAAGAAAAAAGGCGCCAAAGTACAGCACCAGAGGGATTAATGAAAGTAAAAAATAAGCATTTATAAAAAAAAAAATGAAATGAATAATTGAAGTAGAAGTAGCAACATAAAATACACCATTAACCACAAGAAAGTAAAATCGATTAACACCTCATTTTGGTTCAAATGCCAAAGAGAAAAGCTGTGGCTTAAACACAGATTTAAAAATGTCTTTGAGAGGCTTTCTCTAATTTTGCATCAGCAAAGTACTCCATAGATTTAGAGCTGAAACAACAAAAGCCTGATTCCCCCTGAGTTTCAGTTGAGAGATCAGCTGATCTGTAGTGCTGTTTGTGTGGCAGTAAGGGAATGTAGCTCCAGATGGTAGAATTATTATGAATATGTTGTCACATCTGAGAGTTTAAATACTTACTAGATAATCTTAAGTAGTAAATGTTGATTTATGTGCAAATAGTAGCTCTTTAAGTTGCATCTGCATACATGTGTCTGGTTGAAGCTGTGTCACATATTGCAACCATGCTCTCATTGCTACACTGGCGTGCACAGACATTTCTGGGAGCAGGGGCTCTGGTTGGGAAAAGGGAACCTCTTACGTTACATGAAACCACCAAACAACGCTGATGTTTTAACTATCTTCTGCAGTCCATAGGTAGCAATGCCGCATTGGTATCTTGATTTGAGTGGGTATATATGACAATGTGCAGATCAACTAAGATTTACATATGAAATATGAAAGAAAAAACTCTATTATCTTTAAGTGCATTATATGTAATAATCTTATTTTAAGGTCATATTCTCTTGTTCTAGTTCATCTTCTTTTCCTGCTCATATCAGGGGCAAATACAGTTATTTTCAGAAAATTGTACATATATTCAGGTCACCTTTTGCAGTCCAACATTTCAATGAACACAGAATTGAAAATGCAACTTCATACACATGCCCCACTTAAACTGAATAAAACCTTATTGAAGTTATTTTTACGAATTGTGATCATTTGGCTTTATATGTGCTTTTAAAGGAAATTCTAAGCAGATGTAACTTGTGTGCTAGAGTTGTTTAAAAAAAAAAAAAAAGACATAAGTACAGTAGATGTCATAAGGGAGTCCCTGTCAGGGACCATTATAGCAAATCAATAATTACATCTATTAGATGCTTCAAATGATAAATTTTTTCTAATTGATTCAAAGAGTAGCAATTTAAACTGTTAATACGCTTGTTTAGTTACCTGGATGCTTAGCTGGCCCTTCACCAGCAGGAAAGTTTGTCAACACAACTTTTTGATTCTGATACCAATTTTTCAGCTTGTATTATTGATGGATACAGATATTTACCCAATAATATAAGAGCTTGAATCATACTTTTATTAATTACTTTGTATTGTGGAATGTTATAAAAAGCTTTATCTAGCTATATTACTCAAACTGAACAATAGTCAACAGCAACAGGTATGAGGAAAAACTGACCTATTTTATTATTAACCAATGGTTTACATAAAACCCATACAAAAGCAGATGGAGCAGAGTTTTTCTATAAGGCTGTTTCGATCAGAGACTTTAGATGCATGTGAGTATGTTCTGATATAAAGTTTTTGAGCTGATTTCGACTTAATTTCTGAAATAAGTATGGGATCGGGACCTCCTTAATTTGCAGTAATAATTTATGATATTTGGCCTATGAGTAAACTAGTAATGTTGCTGTAAATAGGCTCTAGAGTCTCTCATTTCCCCTGAGTTACACACAGAGCTTCCCTGCAAGGATTTGGCCCTCCTCCCAACTTCAAATTGATTTATCATCTCTCTTAACTCCTAAATCCCCTTCAGATGCTAGAAGCCTGCTGCTAGAATGAATCACTTTGGCATGGTGTTTGCATATTGGTGAGTTCCCTTTTAGAGTTGCAGTTTATAATCTAACCTGATTTTACTTGGCTTTAAAGTAGTTTTCATTCACAAACCTGTACAATCATAGAATGGAAAAATTTGCAAACTGCTTGTGTTGGACAGACAGAGCTTAAAGGTTCCTGTTGTCAAAGAACCAGTTGTTAAGAAACTTGGTTTGCCAAACTTTATGTAACTGTGCTTCTGATCGAGGATCTAGAATCCGTAGATGAAATAAAACAGATTTTAAATTGGCCTCACATGACCTGCCTTTTAGGGTTTCATTTTTAATTTTTGCTCTTTACTGTGTTATCTCTTATCTCTTTGTCTTTTATGCATATGCTTCTGAATTAACATAATTTTGCAGTCATTGTCTTTGTTCTTTTTTCACAGACTGACCTAATGCATCTTTGCTGGATGATCCTTTGTCTATCTTGGTGACCAAAGTCAAGCGACAAAATGTCTGGTAATCAGTCCCTGAATATATCAATAAATTAATAATTTATTTTAGGCATTTGTTTTTCCAGTGGTTTTTTTTTATTTTTATTTTTTTTATTTTACTTTCAGTGTTTTTCTGATTGACATGTTCTGTCCCCTCACTGTGTTAGGTACGTACACCCCAGCTCCTGGTGGATCCTTTTCTGCTCTCACCCCAAGCATGTGGCCCCAGGACATTTTAGCCAAATATCATCAGGTATGAGTCTGACTTTAATTTCATCATAAACCTTTTTTTTTTCTTCCTAACCCAACAGTATTATATAACAGGCTGTCATCTGCAATTTTTCTCTCCTATATTTTATTTGTTTTATCTTGGCACTTTGATATGCAGGAATGTGAAACTTTATATTATTTTTGTCTGAACAGAAAGATCCTGCAGAACAGCCTGAACAACAGTATGATGAGTTTGGCTTCAGGATAGACATTGAAGGTACTATTTTCACACAGCAAAGCACATGAGAACATTTATTTCAAGCAGCGCTGGTAAAGTCCCCTGAATCAGAATTCTCTTTGTACCACAGAATAGAGATCACACATACCAAGCCCATGTGATCTTAGTTTTTTTTTACTTTTTTCCCCCCTCATCTTAAGAGATGAATACATGTTTTGTTCTTCCTCTAGATACATTTTCAACCATCACAGTTGCAGCTGTAGAGGCTTTTTTTTTCTCTTGAATTATCCAATATTTTTTTTTTTAGTTACATTTTAACATCAGTTTAGTATCAATGCTTTCTTTATACTTTAATTTGTCGTCAAAATGAATGGGTCTGCTAAAGAGCTAAAAATCTAAGGCTAGGCACCTTTTTTGTGTTGCCAGGTAAAATTTACATGGATTATACATTTTGCCAGCTGTACCTTCTGTTGCTTTTGCAACTTGCTTTATATAACATGCATGTACAGTTCACTGGGGTATTCATACTTCCTGGTAGTCTTTCAGTTATAGACCAGCACTCATGATTTTCTTATAACTAAAAGTTATTTTAGCATTTTTGAAAGGCTCAAACAGTCTTGAAGGAAAGAAAGCTTTCTTACCTCTAAGAATTGAATCTTAACATTAACGTTAAACCGACAAATAAAAGGTATAAATGATTTTTCTTTTGTTCCGTAAAGTGTACTTTTTTTTTCTTACCTAAAATGTATCATTCTTTTACATTGTTTCAAGTAAATTAAAAATGTCACAAAATCATTTTAAGCCTAACTTTGTCTGTTTCAAAGAAGTGTTTGTAAAAAATGTACACAAAATAAGGCCTATGTTAAATAAAATGTCCAATGTAAGACCTTGTCCACAATGTTCGTTTGTATAGGCTTAGTTTATTCATTCAGCTACTATTTGCTGGAAGTTCATGTTGCTTACACTTAAAAGTTCTAAGCAAGGCTTTTTATTTTTGTTTTTATGTCATTACAAAATAAACACTTGTTTTGAGTTCTAAACAAGAGCTGTTTTTTTTATGTATTTATTTTTTTATTTGGCTTTTACTGTTATTCTTCTCAGTGTTGAGCAGCACACAAACCAAGCAGTTGTATTTTTAATCTATTTTCTTTTAATTAATTATGTACATACATGCACATTGCATAGAAAGAAAAGATTACCTTAAAACGCCCTGTCATGTCGCTAGTATCGCACTCATTGATTATCTTCTATGTGGAAGCTTCTATCATTTAGCTGTTTCCATATTTAATTCAATTTCTTAATCCAGTATGACAATCTTCTTTATTTAAAAAAGTACTTCCTGGTGTAACATTTTTTGGAAGATAAACCTAACTAATTGTGGACTTTGTGCTCTCTCCTTCTTAGACGATGGGGAACCCAAAATAAGATTGGGCACTGAAGGCTCACCCCAGTGTGAAGACCCCCAGCAGCGGCTCCGCTGGCAAGCACATTTGGAGTTCACCCATAACCACACAGTGGGGGACCTAACCTGGGATCTAATCGATCCTGTCCTTCCACGGTCCGAGCGTCTGCGGTCCTTGGTCCTCGGTGGCATACCTCACAGCATGAGGCCACAGGTAGACGAAGTATATTGTTTTGACTAAACATAGGGCACTAGGAGCTAATGCCCAGTTAAAGCTATTGTATGTTTAGCTAACAACTGCTTCTCCTTGTGTTGATAATATTACCCCACTAAATATCCTATTCTCTTTTTTTTTTTATATATATATATATTTGCACGTTCAAGTTATGGATGCGTCTGTCTGGAGCACTGCAAAAGAAGAGGACCTCTGAAATTTCCTACAAAGAAATCGTCAAGAACTGTTCTAATGATGACACCAGCACAGCTAAACAAGTAAAACCCCAAAGCTTCCATTTCCCAGACAAATATATGCATCCTAAATAAGAACATCTTAAATGATATACTAAAACATTTATCAAAAGCCTTATCAATCCCATTTGATCTAGTATTGATCATTCTCCTCTTACTGTTTTTGGTTTATTTGTTAGTCAATAACTGCTCTCTAGTTTGAGTTCGCTCCATATAACAGTGGTATTATAAACTGATTATTATTGAAACTTTGAAATGATAATATGTTGATTCTTAAACTCTGCTTCACAGATTGAAAAGGACCTGTTACGGACTATGCCAACCAATGCATGTTTTAGTACTCTTAATAGCGTCGGAGTCCCAAGACTTAGACGGGTCCTGAGAGGCCTGGCATGGCTCTACCCGGATATTGGCTACTGTCAGGGAACTGGCATGGTGAGATACATAACTTCACTTCCCCAGCTGTGCATTTGTTGTTTTTCATCCACACATTTATGCCTTATTTTTTCTTTTCTCCCTTTTTTTTTTTTTTAATCTACATAAACGTTATCATTTAAATCAGGTTGTTTCCTGCTTGCTGCTCTTTATGGAAGAGGAGGACGCATTATGGATGATGTGTGCTTTGATCGAGGACCTCCTTCCTCCATCTTACTTCTCCTCCACCCTGCTGGGCGTCCAAACAGATCAGAGGGTTCTCAGGCAGCTCATTGTTCAGTACCTGCCTGCTCTGGACCGCCTCCTCCAAGAGCATGACATTGGTAATGTTCAGTTGGAATTAAATGAGTAAATGATGCATATTCTTCCCATTGTAACACCTTCCTTTGTTTACATGCAGAGATGTCTCTAATCACGTTGCACTGGTTTCTGACATCATTTGCCAGTGTGGTTGACATCCGTCTGCTTCTAAGGATCTGGGATCTGCTCTTTTATCAGGGCTCGGTTGTGCTCTTCCAGGTCACACTGGGTATGCTGAAAATTAAGGTAGGTCCACCACACAGCTATTTTTCCTTGGTTAAAATGAATTATGCATCAACTCATCTAGGACACTTTCCACTGTTTCCACCAAAGGTTGAAAATTAAAGTCTGTCAAGTTTAGGTGTTATTCTCTATTTGTTTTCTTCCTGCAGGAGGAGGAGCTTATTTCATCAGAGAACTCTGCATCTATTTTTAACACCCTGTCAGACCTACCAAGTCAGTTAAAAGATGGGCCTGCAGTTCTAGGAGAGGCTATGAGGATAGCAGGGACGCTAACCCAGGAAACTCTGGAGGCTCATCGTCACAAGCACCTTGCTTATATTCTCAATGAGCAGGCACAGCTGAACAACGGCAACAATTCAACAATCAGTACAAACCTCAACAAGGTTTGTTTTATGATGTTGGACAACCTGATTTGCTGTTTTAGTGATGTTCTCTGCTTTTCTGAGAGGTCATCTTGTTTCTGTGGATACTTAGGTGGTGAGGAGGCAGTCGCTGCGCAGGAAGTCCACACTGACATCTCTGCTGTTTGGGGAAGATGAGGCTGAAGCCCTGAAATCCAAAAATATTAAGCAGACTGAGTTGGTGGCTGCTCTAAGGGAGGCTATAACTCGTACTGCAGAGCACTTCCACTGTCTAGACCCCCGGCATTCCAACACTGTAGGTTGAAACGTTCAACCATGCATTGTTTCCCTCCTGAATATTTGGGGGAAATATGTTTATTTTCTTGCAACCCGTGTCCTGATGGGTTGGTGCACTTATCGAGTTTGGGTCCTTTCTTCTTCTCTCCAGGACCTGACCCCAGATTACTCCATGGAGAGCCACCAACGAGATCATGAAAACTTTCTGGTGGTGTCTCGTAACAGACGGAGACGGGCAAAGGCTTTGCTGGACTTTGAGCGTCACGATGATGATGAATTGGGCTTCCGAAAGAATGACATCATCACTGTGAGCCATACTGAGATTAATCCTCCTTTTTTTTTTTTTTTTTCTATGCATGAAATCATTTTCCTTTGTGCTCCTTACTCTACCTTATCTTTCTGTTAGATCATCTCACAAAAAGATGAGCACTGTTGGGTCGGGGAGCTCAATGGCCTTAGAGGTGTGTACTTTTATCAGTATTGTATCATTATAGTATAGAAGTGTTTTATGGGTTTATTTTACCATTAAACATTTGTTCTTTCTTGTTTTAGGTTGGTTTCCAGCCAAGTTTGTCGAGATTCTGGATGAAAGAAGCAAGGAGGTAATTTGTCTGATGCGGAAGTCCATAGATAAGCTGTACACGGCTTTGAGCATCTGTTCACCTGATTATTATCCCCTGTCTCTTGCTATTCATTGACTGTTGAACCTGCCTGCATCCAGTACTCGCTAGCAGGAGATGACTCAGTGACAGAGGCGGTGACTGACCTTGTCAGAGGAACTCTGTGTCCTGCTCTGAAGGCCATCTTTCAGCATGGATTAAAAAAGCCCTCCATACTTGGAGGGCCTTGCCATCCATGGTTATTCATAGAGGAGGTAAATTTATGATATAATTTTCTAATGGCTATATTAATGAAATCTTTTGTCAAGTACAAAATAGGAATACATTATTCTGTTATGCTTTTTTTTTTTCCCTCTTTCAGGCAGCTAGTTGTGAGGTGGAAAGGGACTTTAATTCTGTCTACTCCAGACTTGTGCTTTGCAAAACATACAGGTAAAATAAATGTTTATTTATAATGAATGCTTTTAAATTTTTAAAGGGTTTATACTAAATAGTTTTCTTACTAAAAACACATTGTTTGTTTGACAACCTTAAATATAAGCTTTCTGCTAAACCTCCTTCTGTTTAAAAGTGATAAGGGCTCTAAATAAGTTGATAGTGTTTCTATTAATCATTTTGGAAAAAATGGTAATCATATTATCAATGTGATTAAAATGAGATAGAATGACATGGTGAACATAGTTTTGCACATTAACAAATTCAGGTAGTCAAACTTTAAGCAAAAAGAGAAAAGTAGCAGCTCAGGGTCGGTATCTGCAGATTCTCCAGCACTCCGCTGCTGTTTGTAATGAACCTCATAGAACGTTCAGATCTCTATTTATCATCCCCAGTAATTCCATGCTGAAGACCACTTTAGGGTTCGACTCATTCGGGAGTGATCAGATTCCCCATTTGTCATATTTGTTTTAAAATAGCAGACAGAGGCAGCCAATAGCTGCAGACGAGCTCTTCAGACCCACACATACATGTGCTGCACACAAAGCACTTTGGAGGAAAACTGGATTGTGACCTTTAAAAATAGTAGGAAACTGAAAAGGATGAAATATTAAACATGATTTGTCAACAAAATATATTGACATTAATTGGCTTTATTGGCTGTAATCACTGCAGTCTTTAAACTAGGTTCTTTATAGATATTTCTTTATTTGCAGTTGTAACAAAGTTGAAGCATTTGAATGTATTCTGTGATAAGTTACAGAATTTAGTTTTTCATCACAGCGTCTGTTATTTACCAGGTTGGATGAAGATGGTAAAGTTCTTACACCAGAGGAGTTGCTCTACAGAGTGAGTATGCATAGGACCCAATAGGTCCACTGACTGATGAAATGGTTAATTTGAGTCTTAATATAGAAGAATTTGTAAATAGTTTTACTTAAAGTTTCCACTGTTTTATTCATATATGTATTGTATTAAAGTTAGGCCTATAGCTAAAAGTTTGAAGGGAGAACTTAGTTTCTTCTCTTTGTTTTTGTTTTGTTTTTCCCAGGCAGTGCAGTCTGTAAACATGAGCCATGACTCTGTTCATGCTCAGATGGATGTCAAGTTCAGATCTCTTGTCTGTGTTGGCCTTAAGTGAGTCCCTCTTGAGCTCTTTAGTTTGAAATGTAAATAATTTTTACAATTAATTCTGAATATCTCCTGCTTAACATGCATCCATCTTTACAGTGAGCAGGTGCTTCATCTGTGGTTGGAGGTGTTATGCTCGAGCATGGCTGCTGTAGAGAAATGGTATCATCCATGGTCATTCCTTCGCAGTCCTGGTTGGGTGCAGATCAAGTGCGAGCTCAGGTATTAAAGACATGTGACAACAAACCTAAAATAGATCCAGCTACCTTGTTTGCCAGTTTGTGTTCTATTTTAACGTACCTATAGTTTTAGTATTGATTGCAAACATTTTATTTTTACCCATTTTTTTATTATCTTAATAAAATATCAATAAATCATGGAGTTGGTTCATCATCACATCTCCATTTAGACTTTACCCTTTCTTTTTCTAAACACCTAATGTTTAGAAAGTGTACTCTATTTTTATTTTTTTTATTAATCAGCCCATTTTGAATGTTTGTGCCCTCAGGGTTCTGTCAAAGTTTGCCTTCAGTCTCTCTCAGGACAGTGAGCTGCCCGACAAAAAAGTGGTGAGTTAAACTGCTCGTCATACAGCAGCAAATCAGTTTTATCAGTACAGTGTGTTGCATTCAGGAGGAAAACCGTTGACGTCATCATACCATTTCAGAAATCTGCTATTCTGAAAGCAGAAGTTATGGATGTGCTGGTTCAGCATCACCTGTTTAGTTGGGATCTCTAGGTAACCTCCTGTTTGAGACTGTGGTGGCTGAAAAATAGATGGTAGCTAAAGCCAATTCACAGTTTCTGCTCCTGCATTTCCTTTACTTTCTGTTTATTTTGTACTAAACACCATAGGCCCCAAAATGTAAAATTAAATTTAGAAAAATTGCCGCCCATCATTATTTACCAGTCCCCAAAAACACTCAGTTTATCCTCAGAGATGCAGATACCTTGAATTGGCTTTAATCTTTAATCTCAATGAACAACTAACACTCTACTGTTTCCTTATATTTAGCAGTTGATGTCTCGTACTAATTTTTAGTGGCTAACCACCTTAAAACTAGAAATCACTCTGTTTATAAAACCTATGTAAGGAAAATGGACAACCCGGCACTAAAGGTACCACAAATCTCACGCTAACTTGCCGTGGAAGGCGCAGCTAGCATATGAAAGGCGGCACTCAAAGTATATATTTTCTGTTAATTCAGAGTGCTGTGTGTGATGGCAAGGAGAGCGCCCAAACACCATCCTGCTGGGGGAAATATGGAAGCCTATAGGGAAAATGGAGTAATAAAAGTCCTAAATCTTTTTGGAACGAAGTCTAATTGAGGTTGTCTTTGTCTAGTATTCACAGCTTTGTATTGGTCTGTTAACATTTTGATTGTTTGAATAGAAAGACTTAACCATAGTAGGAACATAGAATAGTGCTAGTAACTTCTCAGCTCTTTACCTTTTTCTATAACAAATTGTTCTTTTTTTTTTATTTGTCTGTTTTAGGAGAAGGAGCAAAAACCACTAAAAGAAGGGGTGCAGGATATGCTGGTGAAACATCATCTCTTTAGCTGGGATATCGATGGCTGAACACAGCTTTACCCCATGATACGCTGGTGTAGATTCTCAGTCATCCTGGACGTATCAATCTGAAGTGCTTCAGTAGAGATCATCAGGACCTCTGCTGTTTCTTTGACCTCTCAGCTAAACAATATTTTTCATTCTGAAAATAACTTGAAGCATCGGGCTTATAAATGTTGTCAGAACAACTGCATGTTTCTTCCAACCGTGTTCAGATCTGAATTATGTGTAAGAGACTAAATGTCTTTAAGAAACTAAAGAGGTCCATTTGCTTTCTACTTGAGCAGTGGGCTGCATTCTAGTTTGTGTTTCAGCTACTGGTTGCAATCCACATCTAATTTAAAAACATCTTCTCCCGTTGGTCATGAGCGCCAAAGTAACGACTGAAACCCAGTAATGTTCATCTGTTTTGTACAGACTAAAGTTTGGTGCATACTTTATTTCTCTTTGAATCCTGCATCAGAGGTTATGCCACAAGACAAAACTTCCATGTTGTACAGAATAATCTGTACTAGTAGAACCTGTTAACACTAACTTCTGTGGATAAATTACAAGTGCAAAACCCATAACTGATCATCTAAAAAATGTTTTAAAATGACCTTCACTTCCCCATGCTGTCAACTCCTACATTTTAGTACCAAAAAGGAACATTCCTAATCATAAGTCTGTAAAGAGAAACTATTTTTGAATGTTACTTTCTTCAGTACTCTAAAATTCATTAAACATGTCAGATTACTGTCTTGTTTCATGTGCCAGGTCAGCCACAGATCATGAACTGTGTCTACTACCTTAATAAGGGTAGTACAAAACGCACTTGTATCATTTAAAATAATGTAGCTACTTTTTGTGTTACATCATTACATGTTACAATAAAATAATATATAATGAATACTTTGTTTTTATTAAACTGTAACATAGTAAAAAGCCTTTAGGTACTTTACACTTGTAAAAGGTATAATTAAGATGATTTTTTTAAAAGTTGCACATATTGGGAAATTTCATTGTCTTTTCTCTTTATTTTCAAGAGTTTCTTGCACCTTTGAAACCTTGACATTACACTAGAAATTAGCATAGTAGTAGTCTGCTAAAATGTTTTTAACCAATTTTGCACCCACACATTTTCAACAGCAAGGTTTTAATGGACTTGAATGCTCTCTTGTCAAGTGTATCGTCATGTGACTTTATGGTCACTTTATTATTTCCCCTTATGTGGGGCAGCAAACTTTTGTAAAGCACATCACTGCCACAAGGCTGGAGTGAGAAAGTATGTTTCCTGCTGTTGTTGAATATAATTAACTTTTTAAAAACGACTTTACTGCAAATGCTGTTAGTAGTTTAGCTTGACTAGAAACATACCCAACAATAAAAATGTTCCCATTCCTAGGTCCAAAAAAGGCATTAAGCTTAAACAGTAATTTGGTAGTTTTAAGTAGGAAAGGACTTTACCCATTTTAGTTCTTTTATGGATGATGGAAATCATTGTGAAAAATTTAAAAGAAACACAGCTGTATAGTTTTTATTTTTTTATTTTTATTGTTCTTTTTGCAGAAAAATGTCTGAAATTGTCACAAACGGCAACAGGCCATACCACACAGGAGTACTAGATTAACAGGAAAAGCATTGGAATCATTAGCAACTGCTTTACTGTGCTGTTATTTTATTAATGCTAGTATAAGGTAGCCACCAGTTAAAGCATGACAAATACTACTGAATCTAAGAGTGCAAGTGAGATTAAATATAGTCCAACCATCTAAGAGTAAATGTACTGCTGTTGTGCCAAATAAATAACTAGGGTTAAAATAATGCCACAGCTTATTTTGTATAGCTTAAACTTGTTTCAATCATTTTCCCCCTTTGCTACATTCAGTTTTTTTTAATTTGCATACAATTTTTACAAACTCAAATTTGAATTTTTTACACCTAATTTACATTTGTAGTATAAATAGTCCAACTTTGTCATTAATACACAGTCGATGCAGGAGGAAGTGAATATAGCTGCACTTGCAGAAGCACGGCCCTTCTGCTGTCTCCAGCCAAAAGGCCGGTTCCACTAAGGTAAGGGGGGGGGGACCTCATCCTGACTGAGACTGACCTCTAACACCTCATTACTTTTTTTTAATTTGTAAAGGCAGCTGACATTGAAATGCATAACATTTGTTTCAGAACAAACAAAGATGAACTTGGTATGAACAGGCAGGATTTTTTAAATCTTCTCGATTCAAACATCTGTCAAAGTTGTGGAATGACACTTTGTGAACTAATAGATGGAGATGTAAAAAAAAAAAATTCCAACAATTCAGCAGTTTCCTGTTGCTGTGGAGGAGGGTGCTGTCATTGAGTTGGCGCTGCTATTTTGGCCTTTTCCTTTGTGCCTCTGGCCACCCCTTCTCCTTCCACCTCCTCCAGACTTTGGCTACAAAGGACAGAACAGAAAACACAGGTTTAGGTGGAACACCCCTTCAAAGTAGTAATGAGACCGTGCACACATCAAATTGCAGAGCTTTTACTTCAGCACTTTATTTTGTCCTGTTTTTTCTGGTTCATACACATTTACCTTGTTCTCTTTGTTACCCTCTTTTAATTGAGGGTCATCATCTCCCTCCCCCTTTGGATTCATCCACGCAAGCAAAGTAAAAAATATGTGATGCAATGTGGCAAAATTAAAGTTTGGGATGAAACAAATGAGTCAGCATTGGTTAAATGAATAAGAAGATGGGGAGACAAAGGATATTAGTGAGTTAGAATTGATCACTGCTTTCCAAAGATTGGAAGAAATCTGCATAAAGTGTGAAAGCTTCAAGCGACTGGGTGTGTCTGTTGATCTGTGTTGACTCACCGGCTGTGACGTGCTGGAGCCAGCCGGCTGTGCTATCGTTGCTGCATCGTCGCCAGTTGCCATGGTGCCATCCTCTTTCCTAAGAGGCACCTTCTTTGTGGACTGCATTTTAATTTGTGGAGGTTTGGAGTTAGATGGCATGTTATTAGTAGAGTGCAACAGCTGAAAGGGAGAGGAAATAAGACGATTTAAAACTTGATTTTCACTTTTTTTATGAGTCGGCGGAACCTGTCTACCTTAGTGATTGTTCCCACAGCCTTGGTGCGGCCTTCTCTGAACACCAGTCTCTGGTCACAGTGGAGATACTCTGGCGTTTTGATGAAGCGGAAGTGGACTGAAGCCTTGTCCCCTGTCCTTAAGCAGTCTCTGTTCATGGACAAGATGGTGGCTGTCTGTCGTATACTCCCACAATGGACTGATTGTTGTATGAGGTAAAGAATAGAAAGACGCACACTTTAATGAATCAATCCAGTACAAATTCCTTTGTAACACATTTATAAAATGTTTTTCTACATTCTTTCATGTTAGAACTATATTACTTCATTGTATTTTGTATTCCTTTGCTTCTTTTCAATGTCACTGGTTGCAATGAAGGGATGTGGTACTAAGGCAGAATACAGAGGACCAACTTTTTCAGATTTTAATTTGTGAAAAATAAAATCATACATTGTACATTTTTTTCTTTCTACTTGACATTTATGAACTGCTTTTTGTTGGTGCATCAAATATAAAATCGGAATAAATAAAGGGTATATGTATAGGTAGAAATGTGTGCATAAAGCCTCTCAGTAACACTATTACCCACCCATCGCCTGGTATCTGGGGGATATCGTAGTCGGATGATGCAGAACCAGAATTTCAGCCTCAAACTCCCAAGTTGCCTGAGGGTTTAACTTCGGCGACACCATCACCATTCCTTTCCTTATAGTCGACCGTTTGATCTTTAGAGAAAAGTGAGAGAATAGCATTTTTTAAGCCTTTAGCAAACCAGACTAAACACCTTTACTACAGAAGGTTCACAAATCACATGTTTTAATAGATAACATGGAGCATTTATTCTTTCCAACCTTTTTCAAAGCAAACGAGGCAGTCTGTCCACCTCTAACCTCCTTAACTGGCATTCGTTTGCGATGAATTGATTTAACAGCAATAGGAATGAAGGTTCCTAGAGGATCCGGACCCAGTAGCATAGTATCGTTCAGACGTATGAGCCCGCGTAAGGTAGTTCCTGATACTACAGTTCCCACTCCCTGGAGAGGAAACAGGACACGGTGAAAATTCAGTGAGCACTTAAAACTATTTCAGTAAGGTTAGTTTAATTACCACTGTAAACTACATCTAGGAATGAAATTTTAGCTGTGCTTCAGGTACCGGTACAGAATAGGTATCATCTATCTGAAATTCGGCAGGCTGATCGTCTCTGTAAGATGTTCTGGAGGAGAGTAGGTTGAGAAACATCTTAAGCAGGTCCATGTTCTCCCCAGTTACATTGGAAATCTGAAAGATGGGGCACATCCTGGGCAGAAAACACAGATTACAAGCAAGGCGTTTAGTTATGACTGAGTTGATATTTTAGTCGTGCAGATAGAGAGAAATACCCCATACCTCTCTGAACTGAAGTTTGAGGCTGCGACTATCACATCATCTTTGCTCTGTACCAGGACCGGAATCTTCCTGCAGCCAGGAGACTTCAATAACCTTTGGAGTAACTTCAAGGTCTCTGTTGGACAAAAGATTTTTTTTTTAGATGTATGTTTAGTTTTTTTAAAAAGGAAATAAATTTTAACTGAATATAATCAGCACAATGTTTATATAATATGTTAGGAATACCTGAAAACTAACCTTGTAAGATGTTGGCTGGACACATGTCTATTTTAGTAACCACTACAAAGACCGGCACGTTTAGCGCTAAAGCTAAGCCAAGGTGTTCTTTGGTCATTCCTACAATACCAGCATTACTGCCCACCTGGTGAAACAGACAGAGGGAAAGAAAGAAAATCAGTTTTTCTGTTTTTAATTGGTAGCTTTCAGTCTAGTTTTACACTTTCACAGGTAATCAACAATAAGCATCAGAAATCTAAACCTAAAATACTTCTGATTATTATTTTTTTATCTAGGCAAACAGACAAACACTAATGCCCCTCACTGTCTAACCATCAGCATGCAGAAGTCTGGAAGGTGTCCAGTCATCCCGAACACGGTGGTCTTCAGGTACTTCTCATGACCGGCCAAGTCGATGAAGGTAATGACTTTGGAGGACTTCTCACAGATTTTGGTCCAGTCCAGGCTTCCTCCATGGCTGTCAGGTTTGTTCACAACCTGGGGACGCACAGGAAACTGGTGAGTCAGTAATAAAAGTTTGAAAACGGTAAACACCACACATAGCAAACTGTGGATGGTGGCTGGTTAGCATGTTGTAAGATTTTTAAGTCTAGAGAAACTTTTTGTAATCAATTAATTTTGTTATACTCAAAAACTTTTTTTTGTATTTTTATCAGACGTCGTTGTATGAGTTACTAACATTATACAACAATGAAACCACTGTTAATGTTCAGGACTTTTCAGGAATTTGATAAACTGTTAAATTCCAGATACCAATAAATGTAGACAATCTTACATTAAAACTCACATTAATGTTTCTCTTAATTTTCTATAGTCGTTTTTCTCTCTTGTTAGTCTCTTCCTTTGTTAAAGTAAGGATTTATTTGTGTGTAAAAAGACTACATCTTGTTCTTTCTGAATGAAGCAGGATGCGCGCTGCCCATGACAGATTTGGAGGAGTGTCAGGGCGCCATTCCATTACTGTCAACGCGTAGTTCAATGTTTCGAGGACAAACCAGGCTTAAGTGCAAACGATATTTATGCTCGTATCCAGTGTAATGTAGGTCTAGGTAGGCATTGTTGAAAACTTCTAAAATAAACTCCACTGTTCATGTTATTTTCACTCTGGGTGAATGAGAACCCATCATGTTCTCAAGCTGATGATAATGCAGAAACCTGGGAGCTGGGTCTGTTTCCTGTTGCTGTTTAAAATTCATCGTAGTGTTTTGGACTTTGTTCTGCATATTTTGCATGTGTTAAATTTTAACAATATCGGATCTATTTGATGCACACTCAGCAAAAAGGTCTTTACCAAAAATGTTCAGCACATATATCTGTCATCTGTCATTACACTCCTTGTGGGTAATTATGTTTAAAATGGAACAGTTTACTAAGTAACTGGACTAAAAATAGCAGCACTGGTTTTTAATGGACCTGATTTTTTGAAAGTGATTATTCCAAATACCAGACTACACCTATCTAGCCCTCACCTGACCCTCCTGGTCAAACCCCAGGATGTCATTGCCCACGCTGCTGGTCCTGCCACTCTCCATCTCATGTTTGTGCCTGAAAAGCTTCTGCCGGGCAAAACCCCTGCCGTTGTCCAGCTCACCATGTGTCAACACTCCCAGCAGAGTGCTCTTACCGGCGTCCACATTCCCCACCACTGCAACTCTGGGTGGGACACAAAAGCACCAAAGTAGCTTTAAAAACACCAGACAATCACTGGTTAATCCTGCTATAACTGAGGAGACAAAGCTTCAAAATTCTGACATGTCAACTACTGACCTGACCTCCAGGAAGTCCAGCTCACCCACACGCCTCCGAATCAGATAGTCACGCACCATTCCAGCAGCCTCAGTGCGCTCTCTAAGGGGGATCAGGTCAGAATCCAGCTGCTCACACAGAGAGTGGACTGTTGCTACCGAGGCCTCCATATCTTTTTCATCCAGACCCCAGTCACCACCATCTATGCAATAGGGCATTAAAAAAGTGTTTATAAACTGCAAGATGAGGGGTAAGTTTAAAAAAAAAATGGTTTAGTTGGCTCAGAATGCTGTGTAACGGACAGATTAGTTGTGTGTTTCTTACCAGAGCCCATTCCAACCACATAGATTGTCTCCCCACAGCCCTCCTCCATCCTATCCCGAAGCTGTCGGAGTAATGAGTCATACTGCTCCCCATTTGGGCTTACAAGCGCTGACTGATGGGGTTCCAGAAAAAAGAAAACAAACAGAAAATACTGATTAATAAAAGCAGAATTGATTTAAGTGTGTTCTTGTTCAAGAGTGGAGGGCTACATATAAACAGCTTTAATAAAATGAAATGTTTTTGGGGAATGCCCTGCGATAGGCTGGCGGCCTGTCCAGGGTGTACCCTGCCTCTCGCCCATAGACAGAGATAGGCACCACCACCCCTCGTGAACCCAGCTGGGATAAGAGTGTTGGAAAATGGATAGATGGTTTTGGGGAAAGGGAGTGCAAAAAAACAATCTTCTCACAAACAGAATCCCAGCTGTCACTTTTCCCATGAACTACTTTGTTGCACATTTACTCAGGCTATCTGATACAGACACAAAATATTCCATTCTGCAAAGCTGTACTACAGGGAAAGCTGATTTAGATTATTAACAGGAGTTTATAATGCACTACTCTTTAACATGGATTACATTTTTCATCTTTAACGACCTTAAGATTGAGGAAAGTTTGTTAAAACTCTTATATTTACAATCATGTTCCATTAGGTAGTCCAAAAGGAAAGCAGCAGTACTAAAAAATATCACCTATAGGAGACTGCAGATACATCAGAACTACAACAGTGGATAGTTTAAATTCAGTGCATAAAATATGTATTTAAATCCTTTAAAAATGTATAATTCACTAATTAATGTATAATTTTAAGAAGCAATAATATCTGGTTATTTAATCAGACATATCAATACATTGTCACTGATATACTAAGTAAATGTGTTATTACTTATTAGTACACCAGAACATGAAGATTGTGTATAAATATGCTTTAGTATAGGTGCAAAAGGATAATGGAATGCCATTTTTGTCACGCATTTTTTACCAGGAATAAAGTAAGCAGAATATTTCTATTTGTGATGCAACACAGTGCAATCTTTGCAGTATGGCATTACACCTCAGTAATAGGTAATCTGAAGCTTCCAGGAAATACCTTTATTGCTCTGTCGCTTGCATGCAAACAATCAGGGTTACATCATGTCACATATCGTGTCCATTTCATAAATCGGGGTTCTAAATTAGAGCTGTTTATAGACTGCAACATCAGTGGTGTGAGCGTACAAAACAGCATACGATGCAATGTTTACACACGGTATTGTATTTTGATTTATGAGCTGGGTTTTTTTTTAGTGTAAATGTTAAATGACTCCATTTGAGTCGTGAGAAAAGACGTATCTGTCCAGACTCTCGGATATTATTTCCGTGTAACATTTGTTAAACGTGTTATTGTTTGCATTTAAATCATCTCTCTATGCCGGTTTAAGGTAGTACATCAGCTGGAGCTAATGTTAGCCACAAGGCTAACTATTTCAGTTAACGTCAGAAAAAAATGGCAACAAGCTCAACATATCGCTATCCCTGAACCCCATGTGACCAAACCTAATATTGATCAATATATCTAGATTCAAAGCATGGTGGTAACAATGCAATGTGCATAACAAGAATTCATATTTTCATTCATTCAACCGCGTTAGCATTAGCAATGCTACATTGAGGCCTAGCGCTACCTTGCTGCTGCAGTCGATCCTCCGATCCTCGGGCTCGCCGTTGGTCAGCTCCCCGTCTTCGTCGATCTCGTCGCCGTCCTCTTCCCCGCATCCTCCCCGGTCTGGAGCGAATATACTGGCGGGGACTAAAGCGTCAGCCAGAGGTCCCGTTCCTGTTGTTAAACCTGGCTCAAGCCCCGCCGCTAATGATGCCATTTCGATGCCAACTGTCTAGTATTAAATGCCGCTCAGACTGTGCAAAGTGTGACGACGACTGGCTATGAAACACACCAACAGCTGGCGACTAAATTGTTTTAACCCCGTCTTTGCTACACAAGCTAAATACATGTAATAAAAAATAACGACACACCGGTTAATAACAAGGCTTTTTATTCGAAATGTTTTCAAATAACATAAAAAAGCCACCACCTCATGAATATTAATAACTATCAAGTGAATAGGCGTATTTTCACCCTGTGTTCACAAATAGATTGATTCTCTGCTAGCAGCGGACCAATAGAAAAAAGGGGGATTGTTCATATCATTAAAGTTAGAGCCAGCCTCTTTAAAAGGAGGTAGCAGCGCCACAGAAATGTTGTAATAACCCTGTAACAAGTCTACACAACAAATTATTACATACGTCTACTGAGAAATGTTATTCTAAAGATAAGTGTGTTTCTATAGCACATCCTATGGGGTTCCATTACTCCCAAAATATATAAGTATACTTAGAGGTGTCAAGTAAAGAAAGTACAAACACTTCGTTACTGTACTTAAGTACACTTTTTAGGTATCTATCTATAGTTTAGGCAAGGCAAGGCAAATTTATTTTTATAGCTTAATTCAGTACAAAGACAATGCAAAGGGCTTTACATGATTGAAATATAGGAAAATAAAACAGAATCAAAGCAAGTAGGAAAAAAATAAAATTAATAATGCGGAAACAAAAAAGAACATCCTAAAGAAAATAAAAAAAGTTGAACTAATGATGTTACAGTTGAACTGTTTAACTAGAACAGTTGAAGGCAATCCTAAACAAATGTGTTTTTAGTCTTGATTTAAAGGAAATCAGGCTTTCCGCACTTTTACAGTTTCTTGGAAGTTTGTTCCAGATAAGTGGACCATAGGAACTAAATGCTGCTTCTCCATGAGTTTACTCCATTACTTATTTTTCTTCTTACTTCTGACTTCTACTCATTACATTTTCACACAAGTATCTTTTACTTTCTATTCCTTAATTTTTTAAAACAAACGTTACTTGTTACTCTTGCTTCGGTTTAATGTTTATAAATATTTAATTCACATCATGTGCGCCATCCAATGCAGTTCATTGGCGCCATCCACATCTAGTGAAAACTAGTGTAATTGGATGAGTCATATAACGCAAACACTCATTGGTTAGCTAAAGGAAATCATCAGAAGCAAGCAGGTGTTCTTCAAACTGAAAATTTGAATTGTCTATGCCATGTTACAATGTTGGATTCAGAAAAAGATGTTGAAATGTCTGAAAGCATATCGGGAGATGGAGACCAACAAGTCCTCCCTCATCCTTGGCCTTATCTCAAAGAATTTTTCAAAATAGTTGAAAAATTAAGCTTTCAATTCATATAGTGGCATCTGGCTGTTTTTTTTTTTAAAGGTTACTTTATACTTTTATACTTTAAGTAGTTTTTGGAGAACATACTTTTTCACTTTTACTTGAGTAAAGAGGTCAAGTTGATACTTCAACTTTTACCAGAGTGTTTTTAAACTGCAGTGCCTATACTTCTGCTTAAGTAACAAATGTGTGTACTTTTGACACCACTGCGTATTGTTGTCTACATGTATGTACTTGAATATTTTTCTACGTAAGATGTATATGTAATGTCTATATAATTTGTCCATGTGTCTATGTTAACTGTATATGTTCTGTGTCCAGGTCTATGTAAGGTGAATATGTGTTTGCATTTAATTCAATTCAGTTTATTTACATAGTCATAACACATGTCCTCTCAAGGCACTTTACAGAAACAATTCAACCAGATCATGCAGTCATATTGGTTCAAAGTTTTCTATCTATTGAAAACCAGCTGATTGCATCTACTTATAATTAGATCTCAACTTTATTGTCATTACACTGTCACAAATACAAAGAAAAGAAATGTGATTTGCATTTATCCATAAGTGCTATACAGGATATAAATATTTATATACATGTATACAGAAACAATGTATGTATTGACTATAAATGGATTATATAAACAGATACATTTTAAGAGGCTATAAAATATATAAATATGAAAACTAGATACAGATTATACAGAAAGGTTAGAATATGGATTATATATATAATATATACATAAAAAAAATATATATATATATGTATATACATATATATGCTCCCTTTTTGAAAAGAAGAAGCTTCCATCAGAACCAGGCTACTGGTTAGGCTGACTGGGGTTCAAGGAAATAGAAGCAGACATACAAAAAGAAGCAGATATACAAAAGGTAACTGTTCCACACACTCTATGTCCAGGAAAGACACACCAAGGAGAGGAGGTCCAAGCCAGTTCCCATGTCAGAGAATAAAGAGAGCACATACAGTTAGTCATTGTAAGAGAAACAGAACTACACTGAAAAACAACATTTATAAACAATGATTTTGATGGCTGCAGCCCAGCTAAATTGAGGGAAATAAGTATTTGAACACCCTGCTATTTCACAAGTTCTCCCACTTAGAGATCATGGAGGGGTAAGAGACATAATCTATAAAAAAAATGAAAATAAAAGAAATCCAGAAATCACAATATATGACTTTTTTACTATTTGTTTATATGATGCATTGCAAATAAGAATTTAAACACCTATCAGCTAGAATTCTGACCCTCAAAGACCTGTTAGTCTGACTTCAACATGTCCATCTCCACTCCATATATGATCCTAAATAAGATGCACCTGTTTGAGGTCGTTAGCTGCATAGAGACACCTGTTCACCCATACAATCAGTAAGAATCCAACTACTAACATGGCCAAGACAAAAGTGCTGTCCAAATACACTAGAGACTAATTCTTACATGTTTACAAGGCTGGAAAGGACTAAGAGGAAATTGGCCAGCAGCTTGGTGAAAAAATATCCACTTTTGGAGCAATCATAAGAAAATGGAAGAAGCTAAACATGACTGTCAATAGGATTTTAAGGTGTATTGGTCATTCTAATTTTTGCTTTGTTCTAAGTTTAGTTATTATTTTTTCTCTGATGGATTGGGCATCTGTTAACGTCATTACCTTCATAGGCAGTGATAGCAATGCCATATTCTGCATCCTACTGTTCTCACTCAGGTGAACGATTTCAATTTTTCCCTCATTTAGAAATTAATTTTTTTTCCCAATTCCGTCTTTTTTCCCCACCTCACTGTTTTTATGTTTCCACCTTATAACACACAGCAAAGCATACATACATTAGCATTTTTGTTTTGTTTATAATATTATATGCCCGTGGATTTAATGTATTTGCAGTATCCCCTGTTTGACACTGGAGAGCAGTACAGTTCAGCTTCAAAATGTTTGGGCACTGTTTTTATGGAAAAGGGACCTATGCTATACAGTAGCAGTAAGTGTTTTTAATGCAAAACACAGGGTAGCTGAAAAATGTAATCATCATATTGAACTTTCAATATTATCTCAACAAGACAAAATATACCATTGCAAACACCTCCTATCTGTTTACAGTTTACTGATAGATCTTTAAGACTATAGCTGTTTTTTTAATAGGTAAATAAGATGATTTACCAATGGAATGTTTTTTTTTACTCTTAAAATAAGAAAATTAGTCGATTGTTTTTGTTATCTTATTTTAAATGTAAATTGTCTTGTTCTGTTGCCAATGTGTCACACTTACCACCTCAATTAAAGAAAAAATTAACTTGTTTGAAGAAAAAATGACTTAATTAGATTAGAATTTTTCGCAGCATACATCAGAAGAAGAAAATGGCCAGTCATATTTCACAAGTTTCTGTTTCTGCTTCTTATTCAGAAAGAACTATAATCTTGCTAAATTCTGTTAGTCTTTTGTCCTCTTTGAGTAAAGAAATTTTCAATAGAAAACAAATACTTATAGTTTTTCATTTGATAGTATGTACAAAATTAAATGCATCCCAAGTGAAAAAATTTCCAGCAATTTGTTGTTTATAGCATAAAATAATGCACTAAGATAGCAGACGATGCTAAATTCCTCATTCGGTCACATGACTCACTGAGTTGCTGCCATGGCGCTGCCATTTTACATAGCAAGTCAATATTTATTTACCTTTGTGATTGAGTTTTTATCCTTAAACAAGGACAAATATGAAGCAATAAGAGTCTTGGTGGTTTTATTCATGCTCGCTGGTTTAATCACGGTTGCTAAATGTTCTTTGATTTTATGCAGAGCCGGTGGATTTAGTTTAAACTAGAGTCTAACCTTTGTTTGAAGAGGGGATCACATGATTCGGATTGGTTCTGTGGTGGCTGGGTTTGGTTCGTTGGCAGCCTGCTGCTACGGCCAGGCATGAAGGCTTGCTGTTAGTGTTGGAGCCCTGTGTGCTGTGCTGCGGTTCTGAATAGTAGGCTGTGCTGCGCTGCTGTGCCTGGACAGGGAAGGCTGTCCCTCAGTAATCCAATTGCAGCGAGCGGTCCAAACACCGGATCCTCTCTGCTGTCCGGGTGGGAAACACTGCCCTTTGGATGTGGTTATTACCCGGTCCGGCTCATGGCTCCAGGCCGGTGGGGTTCGAGGTGTGGGTCTCCGCCTTCGGTAACTGACTGTGATCCTTTGTGGTTCTTCTGGAGCCTGGACCATAATGATATTGAAATCCTTCAGGAGCTACGACTATACTAAACCGTGCAACTAGCTAGGTTTTATGTTTAATGAAATAAAATATTTTATAGAAAATAAAAAATGCTTTGAATCAGCTTTATTGCCATCAGGCACTTTATTAAAGCTATACAACAGAGAAAACAAGTCGTTAAAACTTTGGTATATTGAATCCAACTGATGCTGTGAGAGCAGGATTGATGATAAAAGAATCAGCCGTGAAGTGATCCGAACATAGCCGGGTCCTTCGGATAATTAAAAATTCCTTTTCCCGATTCAAAGTTATTCCTGCAATTAGCAGTAGTTCAATAGCCCAGTGTAATGACGTTTTAACTATCCTTTCGCATTGCCTAACAATGCGTGAAGAAGTGGTTCTATACACCCGCTCAAAGAAGTTTGACTATATTGACGTCACAGCTGGGTTTCGTCACATGTCTGCTCTACAGGCACTTGAGGCAAACAGCATACTGTAAAATTCTCTCAATTTTAAGACTTGGAGCATTTTTAGCCCAATTTAGATCAGCAACATAGAGAAAATAAACGATAATCTACATCACACACAATAAAACT